TTTTAGTTTTTCACAAATCTTGCACTGTCTCTGTTTCTCAAATTTATCTTTGGTGTTATGGTTTATAGTGGTATTCTTTTCAAAAATTGTTTTGTTAACTAAATGTTCTAGTTTACCGATTTCCTTAAATAAATCTTCTGTCACCTCTAATTCTTCGCGGTTGATCTTATCTGATGCAAAGTTTTTTAAACCTACAGCAATGAGATCAACTAAGGTACTTGTATCAATTGATTTCCTTATCTCTAACAAGAGTCATTCTTTTTTCAAAGCATAATCTAGCAATGACCTAGTTTTGTATCTAAAAGAAAATGCATACCTAAGACCTAACTGAGGTCCACCCTTTATTTGCATATGTTGCATTAAAATTTTCTTTCCATTTTTCCCACTCTGAATTTAGAGTAAGTTTAATTAGCATAGAGCTATACTAATTCAAACATGAATTTTCTAGAAACAATCTGAAAATCTCAATCTTTTGTACATCTTGTTTTATATCAAAATGGTCACATTCTTTCTCAAAAACCTCCATCCACTGATAAACATTATAATCTTTACCTGTAAACTTCTCAATGATAAATTTCTCTGCCAATTTTTTAACATTTATTTTGATTATGATGTTGTTGCTTACTTTCAGTAAGTTTTTCTAAAATTCGTGTCAATGACTCCTCTGAAATACCCGTACTGTTTGCAGCCGATTGTGTTATTTCTTCCAAAAAATACCCATCAATTTGTATATTCTCTTGGTCATCCATATACACTTTTTTTTAACTCTGTTGTTAAAGCGATCCATACCCTTCCCGTTTGGTGCCTTTTCCGTAGTGTTATCTTTATGCTCTCATAAGCAGATGTTTCTATTATAAGTTTATGTAAATTCATTACCTGTAAATCTTCTGGAACACTAAAATTCCGATTATCAGGTGTACCGATAGCTATTATAGCTATAACGTTTGATTTTCCATCCGTCGATGATTTTACTGTGAATTCAAATTTCAACTTATCCAGTTTTTACGAAATGTCGTTT